ATTATTAGACCAGCAGGTCGTGAAAAGGTCTCCAGCCGCTGTAAGCTGCTGGCTGGTGGTGTCACGGACGCTCATTTCATCCTGTAGCACAGTCCATCAGACAGTGAGCAACGCAGATCAGAGGAGGGCTGTAGCCCGCTGATAACAGCCTCTGTCATTAACTCTTTTATTCATTCAAGGAAGGGGAAGGCAGCCAATTTCGTTCCCACAACTGAAAATTAAAACACACGCACACACGCCATGCACGAAGCAAGAGCACGCCAGAGCGACTCGTATTTTATTGTTCAAGCGCCGTGGTTGCAATCAGAGGTTTGAGATTTAACAGAGATGCACAGGCCCGATATATCTCGGCCTGGAGCCCGTACTCTCCATCCGAACGAGCCGCTGAAATCATTGCATCATGGTGCAGCTTTGTCGCACCCTGCATTTGCTTTAGCCCATACAGTTCTGTAAAATAAAGACCGATAAAGCAAACAATCAATCTTTTCGCTTCTTTTCTTTGTCTGCATTGAAGGATGAATTGCTGGTTCTCGGTACCTTATATTAATTAGCACCAAAGGGGTTCATTATTTTAGTTTTAAGATTTATTATTTATTGTTACAAAACCAGTACAGGCAGGTCTGTGGTGTTGTAGCCATTCGATCCTCCTCATAATCTTTGCCACAGATTCATAACAGACTGAACAAAAATAATAGCAAAACAAACTGGTCGCTGTTTACCGAACGATGATCATCAGCCTGCTGCTCTTCTCGGGTTACAGGCACCTTTTTAATGGGCCACTTTCAAAGCAAATGGCCTGGATGTATACAACAAAAGATCGTTTTACAGTCTACTGTATCCTAGTTCAGGATTATCTTTGTGTAGGCCGCGGTGTTGCATCATGAAGGTGAACTCGGATGCTGCAACCTGAGGAAACACTGAGCTTGATGGACACGAGGCAAAATCAGCAAACAGTTCACAGCACTTTGGGCCTCGGTTCGTAGAATCATTTAATGCTTCTTAGCAAGTCTTCAGTCAGCACGATATGTGGGAATTAAGGCAAAACGTAGAAGCTCGATGTTTTAAAAGTTTTGCCTTTTAGAAAGCATGAAAACCTACTTACTGTATATTTATTTCGCGTGATTGGGAAAAAGAATATAAATAAACCAATTATGCCTGCTCGCTCCTTACCAAATCAGGACCCACGTATTTGTGTTACCTCAGTACATTTTCTAACCGTTTTAATTAAATTTATGATCCTCTGATTAAATTATGATTAAATCTCATGATTTATATACTTTTTTCTCAACGGAAACAAGAGCATAGCTCGGGCTACAGCTTCACAAACACACTCAGTCAATGAATGAATGAATGAAGTAGCGTCCTGAAAAGGCGTCATCTGGAACATAAAGCCAGCGAAAGAAAAGTTGATCAAATTTTACGTTTCAGTTTCCAATAAAAGAGAGGCCACGTTCTCTATTGTAGGTGAATTACAATATTTGCGACCGCCGGTTCTATATCTTACCATAATTTAGGAAAGACAAAACGCAAGAAAATATTTTCCTCATCATCAACAAACCGAGCAATGATTTTTATCCATATAATCCCAGAAACAAGTTGGGTCACTATGTTAATGGTCCACGTCCTCTTCTTTTTAAAAAGGAATTTATAACATTTGGTTTTTTTAACAACAAATCCTAAATTTGTATAGAAAATCGTCCAAATAATTTGGGTTTTCAGCAAATTCCAGCCTCCTTTTATAAGCGTAAATTTATGCAAGATTTGAGGCCCCCGGAATGTTATTGGATGTTAGGATGAGGTATTATAGATTCTGGGTTGGGGAAGAGGTGGTGGGGGTACTGCAAGCACCTCCCCTAGAAATGCAGCAAATCTCTCCCGTTTTCTCCCGGTGGGGCACTGCGAGGGCTGGATACGTGCTTTGCACTGGCAGGCTGATGAGGACACGTGTCTCCTCCCTGCCTCTCCCCAGGCTCCATGGTACGGCACTGGCATCAGTTAAGGCATCTGAAAACCGACAGCTAGCTCCTGGAAACGTTGTCCCCTATCTTATATCCAAAAAGGAAAACGATATTATATGCCCTGCAGAAACCTGTGGCTCGCATTTTGTCGTGCGTAAAGCTTTTGCGCACACCCCTGGACCGCCTCAGAGACTGAATAGGCGCGCTACTCATCGAGCATCAGAGCGCAGTGCCAAGATGCAAAAAAGAAGAAGCGACGTCTGAAGGTGACATGAACCTGGGGATAATCAAGAACTTGTGCGATTCCTCGTGGTTTGATCTAATGCAGAGAATCAAGAGCTAAACCTCTGGCTAGCCTCGTTTTTATATTGACTGAAGGAGAAAAACACTAATTAAGCTGTAGACAACTGAGAGTCGGAAGAGGAGCAAAAATGGCGACGTTAATCAGAAGCAAGCTTACTAATAAACTGTCAAATGCAGCCACGGCTGTGTCCAACAAATCCCAGGCGAAGGTGAGCGGGATGTTCGCCAGGATGGGGTTTCAGGCAGCCACCGACGAGGAAGGTCTGGGTTTCGTTGCCTGCGACGACCTGGACTACGATCACCGGCAAGGCATGCAAATGGACATTTTGACATCTGATGAGATGGGGGGAGAGGGGAGCGGGGAAGGCGGTGTGCTGGAAGGGGACAGCCATTACCAGAGGGACGGCACCGGCCCACCACACTCAGCTTCAAAGGACGGAGGTCCGACGAACGAGTTGGCCGAAGTCAAACCAAAAATCACCGCTTGGGAGGCCGGCTGGAACGTCACGAATGCAATCCAGGTAAAGACGCACCTCATGGATTATAAACCCGGCGGTTGCGGTGCTCCGCTCTAATTGACCGAGCCGCCTCCGGAGCAGCTGTGAAATTCGAGATAAGCGCACACCTGCGACCGCACAGAAGGTTAATTCAAATATCAAGGGAGAAAATAAAAACCGCAGGCTCTATCCCTCTGGAGCAACTTTGTGGAGTTACTGTTTATAATAACGATTAAAAAATATTTAGACTAATTACAGAATATGAGACTTCTAGAGCACCCAAGACATTTGTGTCATTGCAATATTTTCAGGTATTTTTAATCGAAGCAATGTAGAGAGTTTAGAACACCTAAGGAGTTGCAATGGTCTGAAAGGGGGAGGTAAATCATGTCCTGTGCACCTCCTCCTTCGTTTAACGCACACACACACATAGGTGTGTATAGTGATGTCCAATGTCACTGATGCTTGCCCCTGATAACTGTTCATCTAATATTCTGCACGACAATGAAGGAATGGATAAGGGAAAAACATGTTGTAGGCTTTGGGTTTATAAAAAACCGAAGCCTTTATTAATCATTATTGTTGGATTATTTTAGGACTATTTAAAGGTCAGAATCTCCTAAATTAATAGCAGCTACAGCACAGAGGCCATTTAGGCCAAGTTGCCTGCAAGAAGACTTTTACGCAAGACCGTATTAAGAGCAACGAATCTCATGTATTCCACTGTGGTCTGTGTCATGCATTTGCAGAGGCAAATGCGAGAATGCGTTTTTATGCAATTACGCACAGAACTATGTGTACACGCAGATATTTTGTCCAAAATGTGCTGATTATTGAGCGTCAGAAGAGAAACGCCATCATTGAAAGTGCGAGGGTGTTACTGGAGAGTGATGTCTGAGTGTGGAGGCTATGCGACAAAAATCTCTAGACGCAATCCTTTTCATTCCATTATGAAGGCTGTGGTCATAGCAGTGACCGTGTCGTCAGTGTCTCCTCGCGGTGACGTCAGAGGCGGGCAGATGCGCTGAAAGCGAATTGGAAAACCCACAGTATGAAAACTAGAGTGACATCAATTGAAGGGCCAGGGCGACCATAGCCAAAGCCTTCATTACAATATGATCTGGTTAACACCAATAAAAAAAAGTCAATGATATTTTCAGAACACCATTAATGATTAATATTTGGTGAGAGGGCCCTAGTGATTCAATTCATTGACAAAATGTTTCCCTCCATTTCTGTGTTTATAGGGGATGTTTGTTCTTGGCTTGCCCTACGCCATCCTGCACGGAGGATACCTCGGACTCTTTCTCATTATTTTTGCCGCCGTGGTGTGCTGTTACACAGGAAAAATCCTTATTGCCTGCCTGTACGAGGAGGACGAAGACGGGCAGCTGGTCCGTGTGAGGGACTCCTATGTGGACATTGCCAACGCCTGCTGCGCGCCCAGATTCCCGTCTTTAGGTGGCCATGTTGTGAATGTAGCCCAAATCATAGAGTTAGTGATGACTTGCATCCTGTATGTGGTGGTCAGTGGTAATCTCATGTACAACAGCTTCCCTAACCTACCAGTTTCCCAAAAGTCGTGGGCCATCATCGCCACCGCCGCTCTCCTCCCCTGCGCGTTTCTGAAGAACCTGAAAGCCGTCTCCAAGTTCAGCTTGCTGTGCACGCTGGCGCATTTTGTCATCAACATCCTGGTCATAGCTTACTGCCTCTCTAGAGCGAGGGACTGGGCCTGGGACAAGGTCAAGTTTTACATCGATGTCAAGAAGTTCCCCATCTCCATTGGGATTATCGTGTTCAGCTACACCTCGCAGATCTTCCTGCCGTCTCTGGAGGGGAACATGCAAAAACCCAGCGAGTTCCACTGCATGATGAACTGGACTCACATCGCTGCCTGTATCCTCAAGGGCCTGTTCGCCCTGGTGGCCTACTTGACCTGGGCTGACGAAACCAAGGAGGTTATCACAGACAACCTGCCGCCAACCATCCGAGCTGTCGTCAATATCTTCCTAGTGTCCAAAGCTCTACTGTCTTATCCGCTGCCGTTTTTCGCTGCCGTCGATGTATTAGAGAAAACGTTTTTCCAGGATGGGGGACGTGCGTACTTTCCGGATTGCTACGGAGGAGATGGACGCCTAAAATCCTGGGGACTCGCTCTCCGATGTAGCCTTGTTGTGTTCACCTTGCTGATGGCGATATATGTGCCACATTTCGCCCTCCTCATGGGTCTCACTGGGAGCCTGACGGGCGCAGGCCTGTGCTTTCTACTTCCCAGTCTCTTCCACCTCAAGCTTTTATGGAGAAAGCTGCTATGGCACCATGTTTTCTTTGATGTCTCCATCTTTGTAATAGGAGGTATATGCAGCATATCTGGTTTTATTCACTCAATAGAGGGGCTCATAGAGGCTTTCAACTATAACATAGAAGTTTAGATTCAAGCAGCTGCTGGAACTAGATGTCAACTGCAACCCCCCTTCATTTAGTGAAAAAATAAAACAAGAGTTCCCGACAAGCGCAGCCCCTCTGCTTATTTCATGCGTAAAAAGCGCGCGCAGAACACACGCGGACATTCATACTACAGTCTTGCATCAGTTCAGAAAAAATGCCCGCATACACACACACACACACACACACAAAGAGAGAGAGAGAGAGTGTGTGAAATGGAGCTTGTGGCAGTGAGGAAATCTAATGCATCTACAAAATCTGTATGGACAATTCATGTTGTATAAATATGCCAACAAAAGTACATATACATATTTTCCAGTGGAGTGAACGTTTACAACACTGACCTTAAATAAAGTTGCAAAAAAAGGGCAGTTTGTCTTTTCGTCGCTCTTGTGGTGTTTCTCCACATGAGACTTCACTTCATGTAATGCTCCAGTTTGTGATGGATGGACATTCAAACTCATAATGTGATTTAATGATTAAGATAAGTTTATTCAAAAAGACATAAAAGGGGGAAAATGCCACTTTCTTCTAAGTAAGGTTTACAGTGAATGCGGTGTTGAATCCAGAGAACAAAGACGAAAAAGTAACACAATGGCAACAACCAGCAGTAAAAATACATGAATATTAATGTTCCTTTTTAAGAAAAAGTTGTTTCATTAGAAATAAGGAAATTGGGCCTCCCCCTAGCAGTTTAAAACACTGGAAATAGTCAACAGCCACTATACAAACTATGCATTGAAAGTAGGAAATTCTAGACACACAAGACATAATGAAACTGGGAAGTGGAATTAAAGAAATTCTCAAAATGTCGATTCTTCAGAGTTAAAGTGATAATGTTTTATATATTGTTTTCCTTTTTAAGCCAATATTTGACTAGTATTTTATTGATCTTTCTATTGGCAATGACAAAATTAGCTCACCTGAAAAACACATTGTGGTAAACGCCAAAACCCACATCCTGGCTTGGACAGATGGGGACCCCAAACACACCAATTTTACCAAAACGCATATACATTACAAAAAAAAAAGGAAATACAGGACTGTTCAGAAATTGCTTTTAAACACTGTTTCGAAAATCTAGAAAAATCGAGCATTTAAAGAGGAAAATGTGCATACAGACATTTCTCATTCTGTGCAATCCAACGGGTCCTGTGGAAATGTTATAAAACCGTATGTGTAGTGTGTTATTGTGGTTTCAAAAAGATGGAATGTATATCTCAAAGTCGTTATCATATATCGTGCAATTAATATTAAAAAATAAAGAAATAAGTGAAATTATATTGTAAAATGTGTGTGGATTTATGTAAAACGAAAATCGGTCAGAACGTGTATTTTTTTTCTCTCTCTATAATAAAAGACAGAAAATGGTGAAGACAGTAGTGGCATTCATATTTTCTTTAATCGAAATAGACAACGAATAGCACTGTGAAGGCTGCAGAGGCCCAGACTTAGACAGAATTAAAAAAAAATACAATGCGTCTCTCTTCGTGAGAAACGCTTCAGGTCAATTTGACAGATGAATTACAATTTATCTGACAAATCAGAAACCCAGATTCGACCGCATTTCCTCGTAAACCCAGGACTACTGTCGGGATTTGTCTGCAGAAACATTCAAAGCATTCAACTCCCCCGGGCCTTACATTCCTGCATGCTAGAATAAAGAGCATTTCGCTAGATTGTCTGCTGTAGGCATCATTATGCTCGACCTGTTCATCCACTGTGTTGATTTCCTGCTCAGACAACATCTGGACAAGCACGCCTGTTGGGAGTGATCTAATCTCCAGATGTTGAAAACGTCAAGCTACTTGGTGCATAGCAATGCACGGTTTAAGGCACCGACCACCTAAATGAGCTGCAGTTTAAACGAAACTGAAAGGAAACAGTATAATATTTCAAATGGGATTAACATCTGAGATTCACAAGCAGAAACCACGTGGACAACTGAAGATAAGCTACTTCACTGGCTACTTTAAGTTAGACCAACATTTCTAATGTTAAGGACAGAATTCCCCTCAACCAAAATGCAATAGTAGCTGTGGCCGATTTGAAACACTGTAGCCATTTTCCAAAGGGATCATCATGTTTTAGTAATTCTCTATCAACCATTAAAATAAAACCCGATTACTTATAGATGTGAACGGATACATTTAAAGCACAGAAAGAAAATATAAAAATACAGCTAAAATGTGCTAAATTAAACTGGGAATTTCGGTATAAAGTCATAAGGTTAATTTCCTCCTATAATCATCTCTATGATAGTCACCAAACATTGCCTGGCGCGCCACCAAGTGGACAAAAGAGAGGATGCCTCCGTACAACCCGCAGATTACAAGCTTAATCAAATTGTTTGTACGCTTCTTTACCTCGGCAAGATATTCGCTGGATCCGATGGACATGGCCCTTTTCACAGCCGTTAAGCAATTTATAAATAAAACTGCAGTCCCTGCCTCTGGTTGGACGACAAACTTAACATAGACAAAGACTAACACACACGTTTGAATAGGTTATGTATAAAGTCACTTTAAATTTTACTGTGATGAACAGATTTATCAAGTATGACAGTGGTAAGAACACCCAGAAAATCTCCACTGAACTCCCCATTCAGCTCTGGCATATCACATATCACTCAAGGAGGTTGACAGACTGATGCTTGGGTATCACACACACAATATCACTGGAAATATTTACCAAGGACTAGAGGGAGTTTGAAACGTAGATATTTATTTCCACTGACAAACACATACTGGTCAAGGTGATATTCCACAGAAGATAATTTACTTTTTATTTCAAGTAATGACATTTAAAGGAAAGCTCAATAAAACCTCAATTATACAAAAACAAACATATTTACAGGCAATAAAATGCCATTGTTAGAAAAATACTGAACAGAATAAGAAAATAAAACAAAAAGATGATCAAGTGGCTCAAGATGCCTGCAGACAAGTGACTTACAGTCAAAACCAGTGTTGTAGCACAAGCTGATTCTGATGTTCCCACACCTTTGTGCAGATTGTGTCCTGCAGCGCTCCACCATCACATTTAGTGGAAGGGAACAAGGCTCATTGGCTGGGCTCTTCACTGTTCACGGTTACGGGTTTCTTGGTCGAGAACTCAGCCACCCAGGGGTGTGACAGGACTCCCTGGATGGGGAGTCTGTGCATTGGGTTGTGCTTTAACAGCCTGGCAACCAAGTCTTTTGCACCAGCACTGATAAGGTCTGGTGTGGGGTAAGTGTACTCCACCTGGATAACAAAACAGACAAATAAGGATTTTTACACTGACACAGACGTAATGATCCACAAAAATAAATTTCAAGATGTTACCTTGGAGTTTGGGAAATCATGATGAGCATTTCTAATTATACAACGCTGTATATATAAATGATTTAAAGGGGAAACAAACAGTCGCAGAATCAAGTTTCTATCTTTGACAGCTTGTGTCATGTCACTTAGCTTTAAGCCTCTTTTTTGCAAAGTTAGTTCAACCACTACTCTTTTTATTATACACTTGAGAGAATGACTGACAGTCAAACTTCTGACTGCATTAAAGCTACTGCATGTAACCGAGGGTAGCACTAGCCTGAAACTCCAAATCAATCCACTCTGCTCTGCCCAGCACTTCAGATATTTGTCATTATGAAATAATAAGAAGAGAGAAGGCAACAAAACTTCCTGATGAATCAGAAGAAAATGAAAATCTCTGTTGGAGAGGGCAATCCCAGTTAAAACCTTTTAGAAGCCAATATCTCTGCACTGCTGCTCAATGAGTCTGGGTCACAGGAGGCTTCGACAGCACCTCTCCTTATTAAGTTTGAGCAAATTTCCACAACAAAAATATTTGACAAATTTACATACTATAGCTTTAATTAGGATAATTTTTATTTCACTAAAACAGTTTCAAATTACATACTCATTTGAAGTTGCATTCAAAAGTTGACAAAATATGCCAGTCGTCTCAGTGTCTAGCCATTCTTGCTTTACCCTTGATATCCGGCGGTAGGTGTCCTCATGAGTTTTTGCTTCAAAGGGGGGCTTTCCAACCAGGAACTCATAGCAAAGGACACCCAGGCTCCACAGATCCACCTTTTCGTCATGAGTTTTTCCCTCAATCATCTCTGGAGGCAAGTAGTCCAGTGTTCCGCACAGTGTGGACCTCCTGATCAAGGAAAGAGTAACTGTTCAAGTAAGGCACATTTTACTTAGTTTGTAAAATCTCTAATGTAGACTGGAAAAAAAGGTGTCTAGACAATAACTTCTAGAGTGGGGAAAAAATCCTGACCTGAACACAGACATTAAAGCCACACAAAAAGGCAAATACAAAACAAAATATCATTCCGCTCCAAAACATTGCCTTTACAGGGACAGTAAAACGGTTGAAAACATAGGTGTCATTTGTACAAAAGTATGTTTATACCTGGAAGAGGGTGTGTGAACAGACCAGCCAAAATCTGCTATCTTTAGCTCTCCATGGGCCCCCAGCAGCAGATTCTCTGGTTTGATGTCCCTGTGGATCACCTTCTTGGAGTGGCAATAGTTCAAGGCATCTGCGAGTTCCATGATGTACTAGCACAGCACACAAGTAACAGCATAGTGGAAACACTAATTACACTTGGCTCAAGTGTTGCATCACACAAACTAATTATTACTTTCACTAAATTAACTTCTACAGATATTTAAGTTTGTTATATAAACTGCTTATTTGATGGCCAAATATATACTGTATTTTACAAACAGATCTTAAAATTGGCAGGCTTACAGTGGCACTTCTGTCTTCAGGAAACCTTCCACAGCGCTGTAGCTCACTGTAAAGTTCTCCCTTGGGTGCAAACTCAAGGATGAGATACACACGAGATGCGTCGTGGAAGTATCCATAGAGGCGCAAGATATTGGGGTGCCTACATGATGCCAATAAGAGAGAGAGAAAGAAAGTGAGAGGTATTCTGAGAACTTTTGAAGCAGTCAACCAATATTTCAATCAGAATGAATTCCGACTGAAATTCTGATCTGAGACTGGCATGAGCCAATCGGATCTGAACTGGAAAACACAATCATGAAGTAAATTTATTTCCCCTTGATAACCCTAACTCAGCCACATTCTGCTACACAACATGTGGCACATTGGCTTGGCCAAACAGATGGCAACTAACATTCACACTTGATTGTGAAAGGCTTTATATTATATAAGACACTGACATATGATGTGAGTCTATCAAAGCTGCATTAAACTGGGGGAGCCATTCATACAGGTTAAATTCCTTGCCATTAACTTCTGAAGACTTCAGGTTAAAACTGTATTGCATACAGACCAAAACAACCATGTTACAAATATTACATAACAAAACATTTCAATTTGGCCACCTGCTATCTAGAGCCCCTTTTACACAGAGATCATGGCACAAACTGCCAATGTTCTGAACCTCCTTGAAGGCAGCTTTTCTGATTTAAACCCTTTACATCAAACTTAAATGCTGGGATATCTGACGCTATACACGGTAAGTCATTCTTATGCTTATATAGTGTTTTTCTATGCAATGAAGTAAGTAGTGTTTTTACACTATTTTCTATTTATTCATTTGCGCGCGCACACACACACACACACACTGATGGCACAGTCACCAGGACCAACTTTTGGTTCAATGTCTTGCTAAAAGACACTTCAACATGTGAAGCGGAGAAGCTGGGATTGAAACCACCAACTCTCCGGTTAGAAGACGACCTGCTCTACCTCCTGAGCCACCCCATACACACAAGGTGCACATCAGAACAGAAAGAAGTGTGCATTTTGGCTGCATTCACACAAAATCCTTCCTGCAGGTTTTACAGGTGTGTGGCTGTGTTTATTCCTGCCTTAGAATGCAACCACAGTGAAACATCACAAAATAACGTTTTAATTCTCCGACTGACTTTGTCTCACTGACACTCCCTCTTCTCATTCACTCTGCATCTCTCTCTCTCTCTCTCTCTCTCTCTCTCTGACCTCCAATCCCCAATTCTGCCTTGTCTCATTTATACAGCAGGTGAGGCCTACTTGTCTCACCAAAATATTACTTCTCATTGCAGAATTTTGGAGGGTCAACATTGACTCCCCATGCCAGTAGTATACATTTATACAGAACAGTGAGGCTGAAAACTCATTGAATGGGCAGTGTGAAGGGGGCTCAGATCACTCTTAAATACAAGTTACTCTGGCTATCGTTTATACTGCCAAATCATCTTCTAGTACACAGCACAAAATATATTCTGTTTGCATAACAGCAGTCACTTATGCAGTGTTTTAACTTCCAGACATTACCTTTCCTCCTCTTCAGCTTAAATGACAATGATCATTTATTTAGGTATGATCCCTTCAAACTATGGGACACCAACTTTTGTCAACCTGGTTATTTAGGTTTAGGTTTGACTTAAAGTTAATGCAGAAATCAGTGGCAAGTCTTTTAAACTTATATAATTACAATGCCCACCAAGCCAAACAACATCTGATTGGCCCAACTATTCAAGATTCAAGTGTGGCATAATGTTGCATAATCTGAACAATACTTCACCTGAGGTGAGACTGGATCTCTACTTCTCTCCTCAGCTGGTGTTCCACCCCAGCCTTTTCCAGCTGCTTCTTGAAGAGCACCTTCAGGGCCAAGATGAACTTACTTTGTCGCTCTCTGGCCAGGTAGACATTGCCAAATTTGCCCTTTCCTAATGGACGGCCAATGTCAAAATTTTCTAAGCACCATCGCTCCCTGTGTGAGCATAAACATGGATAATTATAAACAGTGCCTAAATGTGTAAACCTACAAGGTGATATATGAAAGAAATTAATTGAATATTGAATCAAACTGATACATACTTTGATGAAGAGGTCTTTGAAGAATCATTCTTGGTGGGTATGCCTAATAAAAAGAAAAAAGGACATTTTAACATCCAAAATACCAACTTTTGTTTATCAAATTCAACATTATACTTACTCTGCAGTTTCTCTAGTTTTGCTGCTTCTGATAGTGGTTTTGCCGATTCCGGGTTTACCTTGGGCATGTTTGTTTTCGGCTGATTTTGCTGGGAACCAGGTCTGGGCAGTGGTGCAGGATTTACAGTCTTGGTAGCAGGGTCCACATTCTCAGAGGGCTGTGTGGACTTGACGGCAACTGATACATGAGACACCGGTTTCTGATGGCTCACAGGCCGCTGAATACGCTGAGGTCCATTTGACACACCTAGGACCCGGTGGTGCTGAGTTGGTGTAACTTCAACTTTCTGACTCATCAGTGGCTGTTGTGACACAGGAATCCGTTTTGGGCCAGCACCATTCAACTACAATCAAAGGAAGCCACATAAGACTCATTAAATAATTTCTATTGTTTTTAAGTAGTTTTTTTCCAACAGAGATCTTTTATTTGAGTGCTTTGTTTCTTCACCATTTCACAAGCAGGTGAAATAGACACGATTTCTACTTTCACAACTAGTTTCCTTAATTCTGTCAATGACCTTTTATCTGACTTTCTTGACTTCAATCCCGTTATATTAATGCTCACAGCTATAGCTCTCTGTTTGGGACTCAGCCTGTGCTAGTGAGTACTCATCAGTGTTCATCAAGTTAAATTTACATGTTAATTTAAATTAGTTAAATTTAAGTGGGCTACTAGCACAATTCACTGTTACAACAATATAGTTTACAAGAGTATAACATCTTACAACCACAGTCACACACATTTTATAACTAACAGTACTGTCTACAGTAGGCAAGAGACAAGATTTAAGACTTAATGAAATTTACAATTTTAATACATTCTAAAACTTTGAGAAAACTGACTTGAATACCTCTATTTAATGTCAGTATGATAAAAGTCAGAGAAGTGAAACTACAATCCGCGATAGCAGTGATTCAGTTATTTTTATGGTGAGGGCAATATTGTGCAATACCTTCACTTCAGGCCTTTGAGGGTTCATGTCCTTTGTCTGCCTGGCAGAAGAGTACATCATCTGTGGAAAAAGTACTTCAGGTTTTAATAAATACATAAAACGTTTTCAGGTCAGAGTCGATTAAAAATTATATTTGTTTTACCACTGTAGTTCCTCTAATATCCTTAAGATTTACTGTCTCTCTGTACAGTTTTGTATTGGCGTTATAGCCACAAAAAGCATTAACGTTGTCATGTATCAAAGCTCTCTTATCTAAGACAGTATGAAGAAACAAGACAAAAATACCAGAATTGCACGCTATCAACCTTAACAATGAGATTAAACGTTAACCATCAACCTCACGTTGCCATATGCCTATTTGCAGTTTACTTTAACGTTAACTCACAGCTAATGTTAGCTGGCTCACAGCTAAAGTTAGCTTAACGCTAGTATACACAGCACACGTAAACAACATGCAACACAAGTTATTAACAAAATAACTTGACTTACCTACTATATTACGACAACAATGACCGACAGCGACCACCGTCTGATAATATATGCAGAACTTTAAACAAACACAGAGCAGCTCCCAAGCAGGTGTTACCCTAGCTAGCTAGCATCTACGTCGACCACTAATGTAGCAAACTAGCATACATAAGGACTATCCAGTGTAACTGTACACAGAGATTACTTTTCTAATAACGCTATCACAATACGATTTCTATGAGTAGGAGTAAGCAGTCAATAGCTACAAAAAAAGGAAACTATAAAAACATGCTAGTTCAACTTTAGCTAAATGCCGCTTGCTAATACTTCCCCGGACACTAGCAATATTCGTTGAATTTCAAAAGTCCCTCGGTTCAAAACCTTTAAATTCACCACAGAATCCGATTGGTTGAGGAAATGCTCTATACTCGCTCACTATTGGTGGACAAGACTACAATGTTAGTGACGTCAGAGGAAATTCTCCAAATCAGTAGGTGGCAGCAGCAGTGGCTGAGCTATTGCTGAGCCCCGTGGTCTGAGATCTTTCTATCTCCTTCACAAGAAATACAATTATATTAACAGTTTATATACGTGGCAGAACATTATGACCCCACAAAGTAGCAAACATGGAAATAGACTATGCCTGTAAACTACAATACTGCTCTGAAGTTTTAAGTAACCACTCTGGACTTTTTGGCCCAACTGGCCATCAAATGACTAATGGAGACCAGTGCACTTCTGATAGATATTAAAAAAAGCTTTATCCACTGCAACACTTAAAGAATTACACCCTACTGGCATCTACATAAACATAAAACGGAATGGCACACAATAAACTTTATTTTAAACCATTCAAATGGGGAGTCAAGCATTCAGCCACAGTGTGGCAGCACATGGCTCTTCCATTTCAGATGCCACACCAGTGCATCCCATCAACTGACCAATGCAGGAAGATTGCAATTGTAGTGGTACACATTATACAGTACAATTACTGCATCAGCGTCTAGAGGAGCACCACTATATATATATATATATTTATAAATTTTCAATGAACATCTCTTGACTGAACCACCCAAAGGCAATCCCATCTACTACTCTGGCAAACTACTATGCATACCATGCTACATTTTCACAGTGGGCATTTTGGTCTAGTAAATAAAATATCCACTCCATGTTAAATACGATTTAAAACTGAATGCTGTTAATTCAGGGACAGCTCACTGCATTTTCACAAGACATTTGATTTTAATTTTAACAGTAGTAGGGTTTTAATGTTGAGCTGGTGTGCCTGTTTTTTTTTTTTGTGTGTTTTGTCTTTAGAATTACTGACAAAGAGCTTTAATTAAACAGACCACATTATTTTATTTCCTCATTCTAGAGTTGTAAAAACCTTCTTTTTTTTTTTAGAGGCACCAAGACAAAATGCACCTTTTCCAACCAAGCATCCAATATCTCACTTCTCAGTGATTGAAATAATTCCCTCATTGAAAACAAACCGTTTCTCTAAATATTTGTTACAGGTAAAAAACAAAACAAAAAAAAACAAACATATAAAGAAACTATAATGTTCTGCTGCCCTTTATACATATGAAGCAAGACCTTCTCAAATGTGCAACACACTCTCACCTAGTAATACAAACATATTCACAAATTATCAACTCCCTCAGCATGTGTAGCAGCTTGTCTTAATCAAATTGTATTATTAAGTGCAAATAAATGTTAATGCAAAGCCTAAAGGAACATGCTGAGATGTCTGCATTACAGCCAGGGAATAATATTCATGTGCATCAGTAAATCTGACCCAGTTGAGAAAACATGTTCAGGTACAGCGTGTAACAATGTTTTTTACTGTTAAGCTTGTCTGAAACAGAGTTTGAGGTCTTCTACATGACTTCATCAAAACACAAATGTCAAAAGTACCTTGATCCCTTCTTTTTCACTTAAATACCTTAACAATATTAGTTATACTAAAATAGTTTATATTCATGCTTGTTTCCATTACTTGGTAGAGAGTGTTCTGTTGTTACTCAGGCCCCACAGGAGAACACTGTTGATGAGATGCTCTTACAAAAATACCTTATAAAACATTTGTGTAACATGTTACTGTGTTAACCCACCCATTTACTCTGACACTTGAAACCTATTCTGTGCACTCTCAACATGTATTGCACTTGACCCTTACTTTGACACTGCATTGTTTTCTGCAATCATCAGCTCAACAAGAGTATTCCTCATTTCTATACAGTTTATCTCACCAACTGCTTTTTGTGTTAACTGTAAACAGAGTTCCTGCCACAGGAGACCTACTGGCATTCCGTCTTTTACCAGGTGAAAACACTGCTGGCAAAGGTGATTTTAAAAAGGCTAGACAAAAAGCTGTGTGTCTGCTTTGGCACTTTGTGTGCTTTCAGTTTACCCGATGCCTGTGAGAATATTACACCTCCAAACACAAAGATAAAAACAACAGTCTTTAAACTTGTCCCTGAGTGTACCACTCTCATTTCCTCTCCAAGTTGCCCATCACTGCAGTCCTGCCCAGCAGAATCCTGTAAAAACACACTGCAGAATCCCTTTATGCTGCAGTCTGCTGTTCTTACATGTAATGCAGATGGTTAATTATATGATATGGATCAATTGTACCTTTAAATAATACAAAAACCCAGAGCACCAAAACATCATAAAGGGAGCCTGGGTGTACAGGTGGGCAGTTTCCCCTTAGGCTGTGCTGGGCGATAGAGGCACGTGTAATTTATCAGTGACTGCAGCCGCCATTGGGGTGCGCATGGTCCCGCATGCTGTGGTTGCCAGCTCCTCGATTTCCGCATTCAGTCGCCTGATTACCCACTCCATAGCTTCACGGCCCTGATCAGGAACAAACATAGTATTAATTTGAAGAAAAGAATAAAGAGAATTACATCAAGCTGAAAAGAATAAAGGAAAGTCAAGAATTATGAGCTGTTTAAAGAAAGAGCTATCTTGGCTCAACCTGGGGCAACAAATCTTCCCAAAGGGTCACATGATGAATTTGATAAAGTGATAAGTATGCTTTGAACAACAATTACTGGTATTTCAGTACTTAAATGATTATCGCTTTATAACCATCCCCTTGAGACAGCTATGTACAGAATGAACACGTTTGCCTTCATACAGGACATCACGTGAACTGCTTGGCTTTTAACCACAACCTTGCCTCAAAAAACATTTCTATATTCCAATACACAGATTTCTGCTTCATTTTAACCTACACCAAGCTAAAAAGGTTGAGAACCACTGAAACTGTTTAAGGCACTCTTTTATTATTTTATAGGTAAAAGTGACTTTATAAGCCACATTTGGACAAGAAATTGCTAAATAACACCATGACACTCCAAATGATTTGTGAGGCTCTCTTACCTTTCCAGCATTCGTAGAAATGGTGCTGGCCATAATTCCCTCCAAGTAACTGCTGAGACTGATACCTTTCACTGAGATGATAGCCTCCTGAGTCAGAACTGTCCTAAAGAAGAAAGGGTTTGTAAAGCAAAAAAAGGATGACTAAAAGTTGCCTGTAACAACCTGAGTGCTTAAGGAACTTAAGATTTTTCAGTGTAATTTTCAAATCACTGCACAATAAAAACATACTTCTCAGGATCCTCAGGGTGTGGTTTGTATGTTAACCTTTCATCAACAGATACCATGTTTGTGGAAGTGACCTACAGAGCAAATATTAAAAGAGACAGATTAGTAAATGTTAAGATACTGTATCAATCATCTATACCACTTATTGCTGAACAGGGTCTGGAGCCAATACTGACTGACATTGGGTGAGAGGCAGGGTACACCCTGGATACGTCACAGGGTTGACACTTAGTATGAGCGCATGTGGTTGTCGGTCCCTCACTCCTACGGGCAATTTAGAGTCACCAGTCAACCTAAGATACATGTCTTTGGACTAAGATACAGTATGTAATGTCTTATAATCACAGCCCACAGCTAAGTTATAGGACACCATCGTGAATGTTCATTGCTGAAGAGGGAGGGGTATGGACCAGTTTAACAAGCAAGACTTCATTCTCAGAAATGTTTCACATGCCAAGCTTATGTGTTTGTTATGCAAGATAGGGTACAAAGGTACGACGTAGATAGGTTATGTGACACCCATAACCTACACATAACATAACATTCTGTAATCAGGGTTTGGAAACAGTATGTACCTTAAAAAAGAGGGTAAAAAATTTCCATCGTTAATAGTTAAGTCACGCATCTACTTGCCAATATTATGTCCTATGACAGCATTGTATTTTAGCTGGTAGAAAGTCAAGGAAAGGTACAGTGGGGCAAAAAAGTATTTAGTCAGCCACCAATTGTGCAAGTTCTCCCACTTAAAAAGATGAGAGAGGCCTGTAATTTACATCATAGGTATACTTCAACTATGAGAGACAGAATGAGAAAAACAAATCCAGAAAATCACATTGTCTGATTTTTAAAGAATTTATTTGCGAATTATGGTGGAAAATAAGTATTTGGTCACCTACAAACAAGCAAGATTTCTGGCTCTCACTGTGTCACTATTAAAAACTACATTTACGTTCAAGTACACTGAGCTCTCTCTCATGCTCATTATATGCACATGGATGGTTACATCTCAACATTAACCAAAAGTAGGGAAGTGTTATTTTATTTAAAAAAAATAAATAAATAAATACTCACATTTGTGGACTGAAGTTCGAAGGTTTTCTCTGTGGTATCCACAACTGAGTGCTCCTTAATATATGTGCGTGTTCGTGAACTACCAATGATCTAAAAACAAAATAAGAAAAACAAAAAAAAAAACATTTTACTACAAACTACAATTAAAGATTTCTTGCAGATGTTACTTGATCAGTGTTTTGCCTTTTATCTTTAAAACAGTGCCTTAATTGATTTATTTTAATCTGCCTTCTCTGTGGATGGGCTACTTAGAAAGTCATTAAAACCACCAAGCTTCATGACTTGTAGACCATTAAAAACAACTTTGGCTTAAGTTAAAACTTCATGTTAAAAGAAAACTTTAACTGTGTTTTAAGTGGAAACACACCAGTGCCAACTGAGACTGAATTTGAATTACATGCAGTAAATCTTAACTTGCACACACAAAACCAGGACTTTGTTGAATGAATTCACAACAAAATGTTATTCAACTCCTTGAAACAATCTAAATATGTAAAAATTTGCTCAACTTAAATTATGTTTTTGTAATCAACATTTACAGTAGCTTATTCATGCAAACAAAAGGTGTCCTGTGGTTGTGATTTAACCTAAAATAATCTTATGAACTTTAGCTATGATATAGAAAAACTGAAATCTTCCTGAATATGATGTTCCACCCAAACATCTGTTCTACTATCTTGAGCTTTAAACTTATACTATATTGCATATTTTTATTTTCTTAGCACTCCACAACTACAACTCCCATGAGGTCTTGTCAGATTCCCTTTGTATTAAACTGACACTGAGGTAACCGCATGTCACAGCAAGTTATTTACATGCTACATCCAGTTTATATGCATACACTGTGGCTCAAGAGTGATTTACTTTGAGAAAGTCTCATTAATGGTCAGGTTATTAGGTTAGTAGACACGTGACAGTCTATAGCATAAACTGTCCTTGGAATTAAATGAGCTCATCATAGGTCTTCACAACCCCATCCTCAAACACCTAAGCAAAGTTCAGCTGCTGACTGGAAAAATGTTTACACTGATATGACAGAGTAGCAGGAGATTATCTTTCTCCAGTCTTATCATTACTGCATTCAGACAGTCAAATAGAGGAAAAACAGAGGGGAAAGTTCAAATGACGTTGCAGAAATCCAAAAGCCTCCGTCACTGCTCTACATTCTAGTGACCTCTGGCTTTAACAGAGTTGACCCAGAGATAGAAAGTTGCATCACATGCCATCATGGGTTACACCTCAGCAATGACAGAAATGTCACTACGGTGTCCCGTACAACATGAGCCATGGCATAAAGCCATGACCTTGCTTGGGTCCAAGTCAGCATCAAGGTCTGCTGCTGCTGCTGCTATCCCTGAACAGAAATAGCCTTGCGGGTTAAGGTCACAAGGGCAGGTTGGAAAGCACTGAACATACTGTATCTCCAGTATTATGCTGACCAAGGCTATAACTGGATTCTTGTGTGGCATTTACTAGTGTGACTTTCAGAAGTTGTTTTAGGTCATTTTAAATAATCACAATAGGTAAACATTATGGGTTTTTTCAGCTATGACCCAATACCTTTTTCATCAAGTGCTGTACAGATTTCATTAAACCACAACAAAGAGAAATGCCCAAACCACAAGCACAAACTTGCAAGTCAGGTTTTTTTTCTAAGTCCAGAGACACATGTACATTTTAAGTGTAACCAAAGAAATTAAACTATAGGGTTGTCGCAACACATTTTTTAACAGTGATGCTAGACTGCAAACCAATATCACAGAAACAGCTGGGGGTTTTGATACTCACAGCCTTCACTATAGATGGTAGGCCCCACTCTGTAGTCAGCAGTCTTTTACTGTGGAGGCGTCCCTGTTGGTCAACGTCTCTGTCCAACACATCCACTCCAATCACACTGGGGCTCATGGGGTTGGGATACTTCTGCATAGCAGCCTTGATCACCGTTTCCCAGGGATGACTGTTAAAGAAAAGCCAAAAAACCATGACATCACTGCATTGAAGACTCATACAATTACACACACCGTTACAATTTTTGTAAACATTTAATTTCTTTAGTTTCATGGCAAAAGTGAAAACAAAAGATATCCAACTGAACATACTTATTGTATTTTCATAATAAAATGCTGCTAGTAAAATGTCAGTGCCCTAAATTCTTAGTCTTTTTTTCAAACAAACTGCATGTCACATTTTTATAGACTAAACTATTCAACAGTTCAAAAATTGTTGGATTAGCTTTGCCTTGGCCAACCCAGCCGTAAAATACTACTTACATATGAATGGCTTGGTGATGGGAATCCATAATAAATACTGTGTATTTATTATGTACTGTGTAGCGGAGGGGACCTAGTTTATTAAATAAGATTGGTGAGCTGTAACATAATAATTATTCAAATCTTCCAGAGTTTTGACTCACTACTCCGATTTTTTAAAGAGATTTAAACCGAGTGAAACTAGTTGTCCTTCACTCTCATTATCAGGCTACTTTGAACTTTGGGTTCGCAGGGCTGAGAAGTACATAAATAAAACGCAAATTAAGACACTTTGAGCTGAAATGACAGACGTATGAAACGTGCCGGCGTGGCGCAGTGACGCACACAGGCACAGTACAATGTAGGTGAAAGGTCGCGCACTGGGGCTGGCTCTGACCGGCTAGTTACGCAATTTGAACGCATTTTTTCGTAACCACATCCAGACCCTCTTGAATTCTCACTTATTACGGCTTTATATTAGTTGTAAGAAATATGTGCGTTATTTGTGCATGCTGTATAATGTGGTATTTGTTAAAAAGGCGTTTCAAGGAGGAAATCCATGGGAACAAATCACGATGCTTCTACTACTAGCATACTAGCTAATAACACTAAAGTCTAAGTTAAAAGCTTTTTCCGGTTTGGGTTTCAATAAACGATGCAAATATTATTAACCGGATTAAATGCGAAGCCAGGTGGTGTTAACGTTAACTACTTAACGTAACTAACCTGAACCAGACAGTGAACCGCCACAGACAACGGTCTCTAAGGTTAAACCCATCGCCGTTCTAAAAACAAGTTAGCTAGCTAAATACTACTCACTTGAATATGTGCTCTGACGTCCAGATCTTCATGGTTGAATGGGTTGACCGATGCTAGTGATATCTGGAGTCGGCACAATCACACTGACTCCAGTCGGTGAACTACATTCAAAGACATCCGTGAATCTCCGCCCACTGTACCGAAGCGGTCCTGTCACATGAGTTTATTACACACTTCCGTTGTCACATGCCACGTGACGTGAGTTCGCTTACACTGGAGACTAGTGATTGGAATGACGTCTGTTTGTCTGTCTGTCTGACAGAGCGCAGAGCTTAGCTAAACACTCGCAGAGCATTAGGTCACAGCAGAGTAAAAGATGAAACGTGGCTTCGGCTGCAGTGACACAAAACCCTTTCAGTATGGTTGTGCGGAGGTGTAGCCCCGTTTATTTGTACTTTAGAACGTAAGTGAAACAACCAGAAAGTAACATTTTATTTCCCCGATTCACTGCGTTGTTCATGCTAGCCCTTTCTCTCTTCAGACACTCTTGATCGACTACCGTTGCGTGCGCGCTCTCGGTCTAAATTGCCTCTGGATCTCTGGCACGCAACTTAGCCAACTTATACCATAGCGTGCAGTTTCTATTCATCTATGCAACTCATTTCGTACATTTAAACTTTGACGTTACGCATTTCAACTCGGTGAAGGTTAAAGGTCGTCCGCTGTTAACCTTGAAATAATGAGTTATACTGACCAGTGATGAAATAAAATTTTAAAAATTATAAATTATAGCCCACCCATTCTGATTTACAGTATATAATACAGCACATTTTTATTTAAGCAACAGTTTATATACAGTCAGCAAAACAGTATGAAAAACTTTTAGGAAAGCTGTGGTAGACTAGTAATATGGCAGTTCAATATATGGAGCGTTAATGTAGCCTGTCAGGTTTGTGAGAATTTATTTATTTAACATTCAGTTGAGTAGGTAAAACTGATGTCTTCTTCTTTGTTAACATTTAGTTGGATAATCGAGCCGATTGCCACACTGAAACTTTGAGCCAGATTGCCCTCTGAGAGGTTTGTCACATATGAATTACAAGCAATACTATCCTCTTTATCTCTGCACATGCTGTGTATGAGTGGTTTACTTTAGTGCAGTATTGCAGACACATTTCCACGTTATGCGTGCTTATCTCAGAGTGCAGACTTTAGCCAAGTTTCGTGTAATCTCTATGTCCCAGACTTGTAACAGTGGGAGGAAACTGTGTGACAGCCTGGAACTGCCACTGTGCTGTCAAAGTGCTGTCCATCATTGTGCAGTTTAGTTTGGTTCAGTTTAACTTCTTATGATAAAAATGAATGAAATGAGAAAGTGTTTTGGTGATTTTAGAGTTGTTATGAATGTGGTCTCAGTTGATAGAAATCACCCTTCTTTTTTGGTGTTTTCCTTTTCTGGTTTTACTGTTTTAATTCCCATCATAATTTAGATACAGAACATTCAATGTAATATTTAATGTAAGTCTGAAAAAACATTGGACAAACAATGTTAACATCACATTTTCATTTTTATGGCATTTCTATGTATACATGGAAAAATTAGCATGATGTTCAAATATTTACTACAAAAGAAAAACTTTAATCTTCAAATACAAACATATACAGGTAAGCACACAAATCATTTGGAGAATACATAAAAGATAAAAAGCACAGTCTAGCACATTAGATCAATTTTATCTAAACCAACCAAAGCTATAAATTAAACTAAAAAAATAGTTCCTTCTTGGATCAACAATTGTTTTCCATATTCTTGCAACAAGGTGTCAAAGCTTCACACCACACTGTAGCCCCCTGTCTTCTAATCATCTGCAGTTTCTTTGCTGCTTTCAGTCACTGTTTCCAGTTTAACTTCTACCCAAGACTGAACCTTTGTTGCTGGTGTTGATGGCTCCTCCACTTCTTCATCCTCTACTTCCCAATCTAGATCAGCAGTGGCATCCTGATACTGCTGGTATTCTGACACCAGGTCATGTAGGTTGTTCTCTGCTTCAGCGAACTCCATTTCATCCATACCTTCTCCTGTATACCAGTGGAGAAAAGCCTTTCGTTTGAACATCAAAGAGAACTGCTCACCCAAGCGGCGAAATATCTCCTGAATGGCAGTATTATTGCCAATGAAGGTGGAGGCCATTTTGAGGCCTCGCGGAGGGATATCACACACGGCAACCTTGACATTGTGAGGGATCCAATCCACAAAGTAGTTGCTGTTTTTCTGCTGGATTGCAAGCATTTGTTCATCTACCTCTTTGGTGGACATCTTGCCACGGAAGATGCCAGCAACCGTGAGGTAGCGCCCTCGTTTTGGGTCGCATGCTGTCATCATGTTGCGGGCATCAAACATCTGCTGGGTGAGCTCAGACACAGTGATAGCTCTATATTGTTGGCTGCCACGGGCTGTGAGGGGCGCAAAGCCTGGCATGAAGAAGTGGAGGCGAGGAAAAGGCACCATGTTGACAGCCAGCTTCCTAAGGTCGGCGTTGAGCTGACCAGGGAATCTCAGGGAGGTCGTGACCCCGCTCATGGTCAGGGAGACCAAGTGGTTAAGGTCCCCATAAGTAGGCGTGGTCAGTTTCAGCGTACGGAAACAGATGTCGTAGAGGGCCTCGTTGTCAATGCAGTAGGTCGCATCTGTGCTTTCCAGGAGGTGGTGGACCGACAGGGTGGCGTTGTATGGCTCCACCACTGTGTCAGAGACTTTAGGAGAGGGCACGATGCTAAAGGTACTCATGATGCGGTCAGGGTACTCCTCTCGGATCTTGTTAATGATGAGGGTTCCCATGCCAGAGCCAGTGCCACCCCCAAGTGAGTGAACCAGTTGGAAGCCCTGCAGGCAATCACAGCTTTCACTCTCATTCCTCACTCTGTCAATAACCTGCTCCACCAGCTCTGCTCCTTCTGTGTAATGGCCCTTTGCCCAGTTATTCCCAGCTCCGGAGCTTCCTGCAACACCAAGAACAAAAAAAAGGTGTGTAGGTTAATGTAGTTATATCACTTGTAATAGAATTAGCAGGGACACATACAATACCTATTGCAACAATGAAAACATAAAAGACAAACATTTAAACACAAAAGTTGCACTACTGCATTGCATTAAGAGTCTCAATTCTGTATTACCACACTTCCAGTTTTCTTTGGCTAAGCATTTGAAACTCTAGTTTATGTGAGGTTTTTGTTTTCAGTTTTACACATGACATGTTCTTCCCCATGTTAAAATTGTTTTTCACTTTATCTCATTCGAGATCGAACCATTTTGAGTAGATTAACCAACACAGGCATGCTACAAGCCAGGATTGGCCAATGAGGAGGGATTTGTGTCCAGAGCACCAAATGTGACAGCACCATGAGTGTATTTCATTAAAATTGTAGTTGTTTCCTTTGCCAAAAAATCATTAAAATCATCTTAATTCAAACATGTAAAGGAAAGAGTCTCAAAAGGAACTCCCTGTGGCTGTTTTGTTGTTTGCCTCACCATGGATGAAGTTGTCTGGCCTAAAAAGGGCCCCGATGCGGCTTCCTCTTACACAGGCTCCAGGTCAATAAGCAGGGCTCTGGGCACATATTTTCCACCTGGAAACACAATGATTATTACCAATATAACCAAAAATGGGAATCTGTCTTAACATAAATATGTATGTCACCCATTTATGTTAAAACATCAAAAGCTTAATGATGTACTCTGAGAACAGATCATGAACCAACATTAATTTACAAAATAAAATTGCAAATATTGTCAAATTATGCACAGTAAAATTTGCATGTCGTTATGTCTTCTGTTTTACCATGTGCCTCACTGAAGTAGACATTGAGTCTCTCCAGCTGGAGCGTGCTGTCTCCCTCATAAATTCCTGTTGCATTGATCCCATGTTCTTCATTAATCACTTCCCAAAACTAGAAAGACAAATTCACAGATGAATATTATCATTGTGATATTAATGCTACTTAATTTATTTACTTGAATATATTACAAACATGTAACTTATTAAAAAAAAATTTAAAAACAACTTTGAAATATGTTTATGGTGATGAAATATTTTCTTACCTTGTTCAACATTTGAAATAAACATTAATACAGACAAAATTATATAGGATGTGTCATCCACCATTTTGCACCTTTCACGTTTTACTTTTTAATTTATGCATTGTGTTAATTTTTAGGCGGTTGTGTAGCTTTATCTTCTAAATTTTACTCTCTAGTCAATGTTTGGCTGGCAGATATAGTCTTATATAGATTGTCTTCCAGATGGGTACATGTTAAAATCTATACCAATTTATTAATCTTTCAGCTGCAATATAACATTAGTGATGTAGCTGCTCATGTTTTCATCTTTTACTGACATAGATAAATATTTGATGCTGCAATAAGATTATATTAAGTCTTAAAGGAATGATAATTAAAGTAGCTGCATGTTTCTCAGACTGCCACAACATCATTATGATATGTGTTAATTTACTTTAGTATTATCTTGTATTTTCAATCTTATTTTGTTGTAGCTGTGATGAAAATGTCCCGCCCATACTGTACCAGCCCTTATCTTTCTCTCAGTGCTTGACAAGGAACACCCTGTCACTTACAACTGTTGGTGGCAACATGCAAAGGCACTGCACGTCAAAATATGCATAATAATTTAAAAATTCTGAATTGGTATACATTTAAACATGTAATTATATTACTTTAAATCTCAATTAACTTAAAATAACTTTAAAAACAACTTTGAAAAAACTGTCTTATCAAAGTTGACACCAAAGTCAGGTCCAATGCATATTATAACTTAACAGTGGAGAAAGCATTTTATATTACTACCTTTGAGCCGATCTGGTTGCCACATTGCCCAATTTGCAGATGTACAATTTCCCGCATGATGGTCCGGCTACAGTACACAGAGCAGCTGGGGTCTCTGATAAGCTACAGTCCTATAACAGGTCTTTTATACAGCACCAGAAATGATGTCATCAGTGATGTCAGGGAGTCACCCCAGTTGTTAGTATATGTATGAGTGGCCCAAACTACATTTCACAGAATAATAAATACAGTATGTATGAATTTTTATATGAGGAATTTTTCCCTTGATTTTATCCTCTAGGGATATATGTAATTTAATTAAGTTTGGTAGGCCTACTGTATTTTACAGTACTATCTGCTGTCTTGTTTCCTGTGTGTTGTTGTACTTCTATATGCATTATTATCATCTTTGTACATTATAGAATATGTAGTGTAAAATGCACTGGAATACATTTCTTTGTTTAAGAAATCATTCAAACAGCTGAATTGTAATTTTTATAATGCAGATAGTGATTATTCAAAGCTAAATACAAGCAATGTGAAAGGACTCATCCAAATATGCAAAATTAATAAATTATCAACTGTTGCAGAGGAAGACGGGTGGTACAATAATTCATAGTGAAATGTATGCTAAATTTATATAGGTAAACACATCTGTAACTGTACAAAGGAGCAAAAACAGGAAGGAAATGTGGCATAGATGAATACAGGCAATGTGTGTGTCTCTGGTCAGTGTCAGATATATCTGTTTCATTAATATTAACATACATACACTTCAATACAGCAAGCAGTTTTTGATCAAATGCAGAGGCTTTTAAAAAGAAACATCAGAATAAGGCAAGCAAGGCAAGTTTATTTATATAACACATTTTTTTACATAAAAATAAAATTGTTCAAAAATTTGCAGTAGGACAATTTTCTACCCTTTAAAGGCAGGATTTTGTTAACATGGCACACTTGACCTCCCCCATTTTTTATTCCTAAAGGGCCAAAATGTTGCTAAATAAACTATATTTATTTCAGCTATTAAGTTCATATAGATGTAATGATAATAGAATAAAATGTACAGTACTTTGCAGATTATGTGTGAGGGATGCTACCATCTAGAGGACGAACGCAGGCATGACATGACAAAACTGCGTTTTAGAATATCATGTGGTCCAGATTTGTGAAAACAAAGGTTCATATTACATTTAGAACGAGTACAAAAGAAATAACGATTTATGAACTTTATGGGGATAGTTACATAATCATTCATTGCCTGTTTTGAAAACAACCACTTTGTTTCTATCCTTACATGTCCTCAGTGGAGCAGCTGTTACTGACACAGGACATGTGTGACACAGTAATTTAGGGAATTTCAGTGTTCCTCATATCATCAGATGTCCTGGGTTCAGATTTTGCCCTGTGAGGAGTTTGCTTGTTTTCCAAAGGTTTGCCCAGGTTTCCTCCATTGGTTCCTGGTTAATCCCACAAATTAGGTTGTTTAGGTTATCACACATAAAGTACATCGCCTTTATTAGGTTTCTCAGCACCTTGTCTGTGTGTTTGTACAGCATAAAGTATATAATTATTTTATATAATATATAGTTCATAAGGTCAATTTTTAAACTTGATACTGTCAACGTCAGCCGCAATCTGGCTAAAATACTTGCAAAGATGCAGGGGTTATTTGACTTTACTTGGACTCTGACCTAGTTAACTTGATATCCTTACCAAGCTTAAATATAAAAATATATATTAACAATGTGTGTTTCTGAATTTCTTTCATCAACATCAAAGATTTTTAGTTAAATCTGTGAGCTTTTTTTTTCTTTTGTTACTAATGTTGAACCCTGGGGACAAATTGAATAAAGAAGGGATTCAATCAAACTCCAGCATTAGTCAGTAACAATAATTATTTAGCTTTTATATGTTCTAAAATGTATTTGAAACTAATAATTAACTACAACAATTTAAAAGCATCTATTCTTCCTTTAAATGTAATACACCATTTGTTACTCTATTTTAATATTTGGTATAATGATATAAGGTGTGGAGCTTAAAACACAAAAGTTTGTACAATCGTCTGTATCCGTCAGACATAGTGATAATAAAATTAACAGGTTGGTTGCAACGTTACAGAATAATTTGACCTTGCCTGAGGTTTTCTGTGTTAATAATTTGACAGACCTAAAAATGGAAGTAGTTTTATAAAACACAACTTTACAACAAGTGACCTCCGTATGGGGTAAACAATTAAGTTCTTACAGCTAGTTGCAGAGTCCCTCTATAAGACAAGACAGTAAGCTGAAGGACACAATAATTGATAGTACAAATGTCAAAAAATAAATCAACTACAACTACTACTACTACTAATAATAATAAACAATGTGGGCCTACAATTCATCAAATTATGTAGATATTGATATTGATATTTGTATTATTGCTATTAAATGGACACAAATACATTTAGCCTACTGAATTTGCATTGGTAATTTATAGCTTTTTGGAGTTGCTGATTAAAGTCTTTAGGGGTTGATAATCGTTTTGCTTCAAACAGGGCGCCTCTCTCCTTCTGTCCCTCTGCTTTATGACGCTCCGAGCAATCATGTGATCCGACCCTGCTTCAGCCCAGATGTATCAAGCGACAAGGAAAAACCGGAAGTACTGTAATCTTAACGCCAAACATAAAGCGTAACATTTCCCTTGCCTTGACAAAAAAGTAAATGTTTAGATTTTTGTGGATTTGTCTCATTTATTTAGCCTTAAAAGTATAAATATATACCAAGCCTATGTTAGTGACTGACCTATGTTACATTTCAAGTGTTCAATGTGACATTGAAATTATAGAAAAAAAGTTTGCAAAAGTAGGTGATTATGTTTATCTGTACAGCTGAATGCCAAAATGCTGTCTTCGGACTAAAGTGCGCTACACTAGGAGCTGGCTTTTCGTAAAACATAAAACAATGTTTTGCTACCATGTAAAATCATTAGGAAGACCCTTGCAATGGACCAGTGGAAGCATAGTTTGTAATTGTTTTGTATTTCTTTGTAGTCGTTTTGTGTGTTTCTGTTGTCATTATCTGTTTTTAGGGTCTCCTTCCAACTCTGTGGTCATTTGCATCTCATTACAGTAGTTTGTGTCACTTCATAGTTGTATCTGTCACTGTGTGGTCGAAGTATTTCTCTTTGTGGTCACTTTGTGTCACTTCACGGTCGTGTTATGTATTTGCAATCACTTTGCATCTTTTTGTGGTTAATATGTAGCCCATCTCGTTGTGGTCATTTTGAATCTCTTTGTGACCACTGTGCATCTCTGTGGTTGTTTTATGTCTCATTATGGTTGTCTCTGAGGTGGCTTTGTATTACTTCTGCAATTTTGCGTTTCTTTGTGGTGTCTCTTAAGTGTATATGATAATTTGTGGTCTTGTGAGTATTTTGTGTTTTACGTAATGTTTCATCTCACCAAGTTGCTGTTAGGGTGTTATTGTGAAAGTTGCAACCGGAAGTTAAATTTGTCCTCCCGAAAAACTTAACCACGGTTCTTCGTTCCCAGGGTTCCGTGAGAGCCGTTTGCCCCACCCCACCTCTTCAACGCTATCTATCTCAATGTACAATTCTCAGAGAAAAGGGGGGACAAAAATAATTCAGAGTAATACTGCAAAGAAACGTTTTTTTATTCCCCCGACCGGTTCATCGGAGCAGACGCGGCTTCTCGGCGGTAAAGTTAAGTGTCTCGCCGTTGGATCAGTGATTGAAAACACCGCGGTATGTTCATGTATCATGCACATGTAACCATAATCTACCATACGGATTCAAAGTGAATACGAAAAGGTTAGAGACTTGACAGCGGGCTGTACCTGCGCCAAACGTGAAAATAACGAAGGATTTTCCCTAATATCATCTGGAAATTGCATTATATTCAAGGACATCCAACGGCAAAAAACGCCTTTGCTCGCCCGGGGAAGCTTTCCGATGTGAGGAGAAATACAAATTAACGTTACAGAGAGAAAAGGACGGAGAAGGGGCCTTTTTTAGGTCTGGTCAAACCCTCCGAAAAGGCAAGCACCAGCATCTGTTGACGGAGAGAGGAAATAATTTTGACATCGACTAAAAACAGGATATTATTGATAAAGTTCCTAACATCAACGACGACATTACCCCAAAACCCTGTAGCCTATAATGTGACGGATTTGTGACAGAGAAAGAAGCCCCGGTGTAGCCTGATGATTCACATGCCGTCATTTTAAGAGGAAATATTTATTTTTTAATTTTTTTCACCCGCCCTCTGATGTCCTTTGGTTAAGCGGAGAAAGGATCACCAACAACCTTTACAAATAATAACCCAGCATATATATTTAAAGAGGATAAAGGGTCAAGAAAAATAGGGGCTTGGTTGAAAGTGGGAATGAATTGAATGGAAGTGTGAGATATCTGCCGAAGATGGGCTCCGGAGGAGACATTTGCTAAGAAAATTCAACCGAATAGCTATATATATATATTTTTAAGACCCAGCCTTTGATTTTAAAACACATTTGAGGAAACAGGACTGCCGACATCCATTCCTGAGCATTGCAAGGTTGGAAATTTAGCATCCACTCTCATATCAATGTTGATGACTTCACTGCGGATTTACACAGGAATCAAGCGTCTGAGAGGGCGGTATCGTTGCTCTACTCCTTTCTGACTGATCTCTTGTTGATAAATTGGCAGTACATAGCTACATCCATCCATCCATCCATAGTCGCACCAAGCCTGGTGGGGCCCACCGTCTACTACCTGACAGGTTTACATCTGTTTCATCTGCATCTGGCCACACAAATGTCACCCATTTTGAGCCAGGTGTTCCTCTGCTGGGCCAGTCTAGGAATTTAGGATTGATTGATTTTCTTCTGATCAACACCCTCTCTCCTTCCTCCTACCCTGCACCCACCCACCGAACCAACAACCCTGCTTCCCCCTGAACCTATCACTAGGTTGTTGGGAAGATGGGCTGTCTTGGCAATAGTAAGACTGAAGACCAACGAAATGAGGAGAAGGCACAGAGGGAAGCCAACAAAAAGATAGAGAAGCAGCTCCAAAAAGACAAACAGATATATCGAGCGACTCACCGGCTACTACTGTTAGGTGGGTTTTCTGACATTCATCATTAATATGTGTGTGATCATTTTAGGCCTGAAAGTCCACTTTGTGCTGGATTGTTGCACCCACAGAATGTTGCAAGTGTATTTTCTCCTTTTTTTTATATATACATGTAATAGTTATTGATTGTACCCATGAAAAAATGGTTTTAACAGTGAGGTATCAAAAGATACAGTGGAATGATGTCACTACACCACCAGTTTGCAGCATCTTGACAGTGGACAGCTGAAAAACGGGCTTGTCTCTAGCATTCATGAGTTATTATGAAGCTCAGCACAGGCTGGGACGGACACTAATTTGCATGTTTTTTTTTTCTGTCCACACATGTAAGCTGTAGAAAATGGGATCAGTTGTGTTTGTGGGTGCAGCTAATATTCCAGATGCCTTCACCTTATTTTTGTGTTTGATGCTATTTTTTCAGACTCCACACTCACCTTTGCACAATCCTCTCCACACTAGCCACTCTAGAAATGGATATTCTGGAATCAGTCCTTGAAAACTGCTATTTCTGAATTGATAATGCTGTTTGTAGTTTCATCTTTGAGGCCTTCGTGTCTTGTTACAGTACATGAACTTTAAAGCCAGGGCTAGTATCCTGCTAAGACTCTCAGAGTACCGAGAACAAATTAGGAATACTGTTAGGATTACAAGCTCCCCTTGAATCACTGTGCCATTCATTGTAATCTAAAATTGATCTCAGATCTGAATACAGGCCGGTAGCCTAGCTAGCTCCAAGTGTTTGAGTTAGGAGATGTGATGGCCTGGTTCCTTCATTTTCATTTGGATAGGGCAATTTTAGGACTTTTCCTCATTTTCCCAAAACATTTTATCATGTCAGAATTCTGGAAAATTACATCTTTTGATGCAATATTTATGATGATAAATTCTATTCATGAGGATGTAGCATATTCATCTGCAACAATAAAAACACTGAGACAATATTCAGTGCTTGTCTCATCTACCATTTACACTGATTCTTTCCGTCCTCATCCCAGATGCTGAGTTTGTAAAAGTACTAATAAAAAATGCTTCAATCCGGGGCTGGAAAAGTTCTACATTCAATCTGCAACTAAATGTAAAAGAAGCATTTTCAGCAAGATGTACTTTAAGTGTTAAAAACAAAAGTACTTGCAGAGCTTACTTACTTGGCAGAAAAATCTTACATTATTATATTGTTAATACTGATTAATTAATGCAAAGGTAACATGGGGGTAATGAGATGACTACTAAGGTAAGAATACTCAGATTTTTTTATGCGTGGGCGGTGACGTCTCTTGTCTGCTTGAAATTTCTGTGGAATAATGGATATTTTTACCTCTTTAGACCTCGAGCACTAATTTAAATGAAACCATCTGAGATGTTTATTGGGGAAATTCCTCACTGGTGAAACTTTTAAACCAGCTCGAAGACTAATCTTAGTCTAGCCATAGTAGACATGACAACCGGACACTGCTCTTTTGTAAGCAGTCACAGGCCAGAAAGATTGGGAGCCACTGATTTGTATCTGGAACAGTGCATTGCCTATTTTAAGATAATGTTTCTTAATAAAAAGGCTTAGTCTGGAAAGTAACTAGTAATTAATGTAGTCAGGTAAAATATTTCCCTTTGCAGTAGAGTAGAAGTATTAGTAGCATAAAAGGGAAGTGCTCAAGTACAGTTTCTTAAAATAAATACAGAACGTGAGTTAATATATGTTGTTACTTTTCACCACTGACTAGAAGAGGCAAGATGACTACACTTTAATGTGCTGCTCTGATCGACTGTTTTAAGGTCTCACCATCTTAGCGTTATTGTATTTGTATAACCTAGGAAGGAATGAAAAGTTTAGGTATGGCACACTGTGTGCACCGACTGTAAACCTCTTCTGGCTTCTCTTCCTGTCCCTTTTCTGCTTTCAGGGGCTGGTGAATCCGGGAAAAGCACGATAGTCAAACAGATGCGAATATTGCATGTTAATGGCTTCAACGCAGAGTAAGTGTTGCTTTACCTCCTGCTTTTATTTTCTACCTCCACACACGTGACACATTGGATTTATTCAAACACAGACTGTCCTGGTAGTTTTAACAGTATTATTGATGAAAATATTTGTTGACTATATGCCTTGAATATTTGATGAAGTTTTGGAGATGGCTGTTGGTGCATTCAGAAAATACAAATGAGAGGAAAAGACACCAAGCAAGTAGAAGCAATCACTGTCCTCTTCACTCAGCTTGTGAGACGAGAAGCATCATGACAACATTAAAAAGCATGACGTTCAAAAAGGCGAGCACAGTTTAGAAAAAGAAAATCGGAGAAGGGCTAGATAAGAGATTTAGTTTGTGAAGGAGGCTGTGAAGTCAGTATTCAGGTATTGATATCCACTGTTTAAGATATGTTAAAAAATAATGTTGTAACAAGTTAATTATCAACTGATTAAAAGAACATTAGTCAGCAACCATTTTGACCATCACTTTATCATTTGAATCAGTTTTTATGCAGCAATAATCTGATTTTATTTGTAGCATTTTAGTGTTTATAATAATATATATTCGGTTGATATAGTAAATTCAATTTCTTTACGTTGAATATGATGAATATGTGATAAGCTTTTGTCACTATTTTGTGACAATATGTTGCTTTTCCTAGTAAAACATATATACCAGTGACCGTTTTGAAGGTGCTTATAGTTGTTTTGCTCATACCACAAAGTACAATATGATTATATTCTTCTTCAGAAATATGTTTTCTTGTGTGCTTGGACAGTTTGACCAGTCTGACATAAAGAAGCAGCTGCTGTCCTCAGTCAGGAACAAGGGAAAAGTTATTTTCCTTAGTTGTAATATGACACTGATATAATTGTACTGGTTATTAGTAGAAAAAAATCACAGCGAGGGTGTCTCAGCTGATTCACTCCGAGCGCCTGGCTAGTATACAACAATTTTATGGAAGGGAAGACTCTTGTCATTGTTTTTACTGAAGTTTAGTCTAATGAAGAAAATGAAATCACAGGTTTGGAGCGTACTTTCATAATGTTTTCGAGTAAACACTCAAAGTTACATGACATAAGAAGAATGCTTTATCTGTTACAGGTTTTCATGGAAATGTTACCCCGGGTGTTTTTTGAGCAACCCTGTCTTGTGAATTTCCTAAAACTCAGCCCCAAGTTGATGCAGTGGAAACAAAAGTCAAATTTTTCTATTCTTAATCATCTGTTTCCTAGGAAGGGACTGTGGAGTAGGGCAGCATCATGTGCTTATTTTTGGGTCATGTCGAACCGATGCTTCCCGCATACACAGACACTCTAGTGTAAAGAAAAAGTATGCAGTTGGCTGTGACTCCTCAGTTGCGTTAAGCCTCCGGGGTTTGCTGCTCTCATTGGGCTGGAGGGCTTCTGGGTGCAGGGCAGTGCGAGTCGGTGCAAGGTCCCGGGAGGGTAAGGTGGTGATGGGGAGTGAGACAGTGATACAGGAGAGCGATAAGACGCAGAAGTGAGGCAGTAGTATGGCTAAGGTGAGAAGAGATTGGTAAGAAGGTTCATCTCAGAGTGTGTGATCTTTTATTCTTTAGGTGTTTTTTGGGGGGGGAGGTAAGGAATGTAGTCTTTCTCTCTTTGGTCATACTGCAGTCACTCTGAGTGAAATAAAAGCTAGGAGTGAAGGAATGAGTGAAACTGCTCTTTTTAAGCTTAAAGCTCTCATTCGCTTTGGGCAAATTATTAGATTGAAGATATTTCTTAGCTTTCTTGTTTGCTAATCCTAGATTTTAAGCAGGATCACTAGTTCTCCATAATGCTGGAGCATCTCTCTTTATTGTCAATAGAATGATTACATCATCTTCCCATTTTAAGTTTATTTTTGGAGCATTTTCAGCTGTTACTACAGACAGTAGAGATAATTGACAAGAAAGGAGTGACACACTGTCAGAAACTTGTACATTCAAGTTTCCCACAGACCAGGGTGACATCTTCTAATATTTAGTTTTGCCTGACCAGCACTCTAAAACCCAAAGATATTCAGTTTACTACCACAGAAGACAAGAAAAAAAAATTCACTGCTGAAAATGTCAATGAACTAAACAGTTCAGATCTATTGTAAAATCAGTTTCCCTGAAATTCTCCATCCAAAAGTATTTCCTCCCAAAACACTGCGGCACTTTAACATGTATATTTTCTGTTTTTCAGCCTGATCAGACTGAATTTTAATTTCAGTTCAAGTCTTCTTTCAGTTGCAGATTGGGTTCATTTTTGCAGTTTTCATCTTACAGTTGCGAGCTAGTTTGACTTGTTTTGCTCCAGCTACATTTTCAGCCAACATAAAAGCTTGTTTAGTGAGTGTTAAAAGTAGTATGTTCACCAATACAAAGAGAGTTGTCTTTATGTGGAATATAAACAGTATTTCACAGCTGAAGCTTTCTGTTGTCCTCCTTAGTCAGGGTTATGTTTCGATTATAGCATGCTGGGATGCAGTTATGCTGACATTGTTACTTCACCAAAGTCACTTTAGACAGAGCACAGCCATTACAAGACATTCATCCATGCTTTTAACAGGGTTGGTTTCAGTTTTTTGGCTATTGCTTTAACAATATCCTGCACATTGCACTCTCATGTAGCACAACATATGGGGATGCTGTGCTTATAAGCATACTGCTCTGACATAGCCCATTACTGAAGAAATCTCACATCCAGGTACAGTACCTGATCGTGTAAAGAGCTCTGAGGTTGTTTCATTTGAAGAATTTCACTATCAAATCTGAGTTTGAATAGGCAGACTTGCTGTTTGTTAGGACATTTGAAAGAAATAAATGCTTCCCCTGCCATCCCAGTTTTCTGAAAGACCTTCACCACTGTGAAACCCACAATGTGCATCAAGTGAGTTCTGTGCTGTGTGGTGATGGTGGAATTCAGCTTGTCTTTACAATGCTAAGTGGAATATGGACCATACCATTGTAGTGGCTAATATTTAGGACCGTACTTTGTGCTCGTGGTAGGTTGAAGTAAAAATAGACTTAAACTCTCCTTTAATGCACAGCAAAAGTCTATGTGGTCCTGCATAACAACCCCCCTGCTGTTTTCTGGTTTAAAAAAAAAGTGTTTAAGACGAGTTCTGCTGTTCTCATTTAGTATCAGCAAGTTCAGAAGTTGCACTTGGCAAGCACAATGAAAGTATTTGTGCATCTGGAGCAGCCATAATACTGATGTCTGATATAATTTACCTCCAGGCTGACAAAAAGACGTGGGTGAAGCCTGTGTTACACAGCATACCAGTACTAAAAAATATTTTATCCTGTACAGCTGCGTTATCCTTATTTGGATTTATGGCTGATTTTTTATATATTTTTTTTTCCAGTTCCTCTTGGACCTGCATTTTGGAAATAATCAAGTTTTTATTAGCATGTAAACAAAGTTAACTTAGGCCGTTCACTGCTAACCTTCATGGTTTAATTGTTTTAATTAATGCTTTTATGTAAAGACAACATGGACTTATCTTTTTTTCTTCACAGGGAGAAAAAACAGAAAATTCATGATATTAAAAACAACATTAAAGAAGCTATAGAGGTAAGAAATTGATCTTTTGACCTTGATACTGAACTGTTTCATCTGAGTTTTGGGACGCCACCATGGTGGGAGAAGTTATAAAGAGATTTTGTGAATGCTTCTAAAATATTGACTAATGAACTTCAGGCAACACTTCAAATGATGATGTAGCACACTGAAATATAAGAGGGTTGAATATTTGCTCTCATCTATTGTAAATGTCTTCGTGTTGGTCTTTATATGAATTGTTGAGTTGTCTTCTTCTCCTCTGTCCATTCAGACGATTGTGGCCGCCATGAGTACACTCACACCACCATGCCAGTTAGCCTGTCCTGCAAACCAATACCGGATCGATTATGTCCTGAACCAAGTAAACCAGAAGGATTTTGAGTTTCCTTCAGTAAGTTGCACCTTATTTCTTTCAGATGTATTAACTCTCTGCTGAAGTTTGCTTCTTTCTTCTTTCACTTTCAACTCGTTTGTTATACCAGTAAGCACTTTTTGGCTGCTGAATGCAACAACAGCTGAAGCAAAAGTTAGGGCACATGTAATTTTACTAACTGGTATGTGCATGACTTTTCAAAACGATCTAGGCCAGTGTCGCTGGGGTAGATGCAGGTTCTTAAAGTTTATATTTCAGTTAAATTAATTAGAGTTTAAATAATTAACTGATTAGTCAGTTGTAAGTTAATCAGCAGCAGTTAATTTAAAAAAAGCCCCAAAATTGTGATCTGTTCATAATTTTAGGACAGTTTACCAACAAAATGATTGATCTTAAAAATAATCGATTGTTGAATTGACACAGATATTAACTAGCTGTAGAAAAATGCAAACATTCAGACCTTAAAAAGTTTAAAATCTGGTTTGTCAGTGTACTGTAGTTCTTCCAAGATAACAGACTGATAATGAAAATCACCTGTATTTATTCACATCTAGCTATTTAATAGTTATGTATCAGCAGTTTAGTTGGTCTGTTAAATGTCTTAAAGTGTCAGGTCTACCCTGCTGAATCCTGCAGGTCTCCTGGCTAGGTGTGCTGCAGGTGAGTGAGGTACCTCACACCGCAGCCTTTGTGAGTCTGCCTCTTGTGTTTGTGCAGTGATTCAGTAATTAGCGGGTGCGCTTCTGCACGGGAGGCTGTCAATTGAATAAGCCTCTCACCTGAGAGATTCACACTGCTCGTTAACACTAATTGTGTCTGTAATAACCCTAAAAGTGTCTAGAGGGATGTGTCCTCCGGAAACACAGAGGCTCGGAGGGATTCCACCTGAGTTACTGTCTGCTCCTTGTGGCCTGTCAGAGAGCCAGTGCATGTCCCACTGCTGGACCAGATATAATTTATTCACTTCCTGGTGTCTTCTGAATCATTTTTAGTGTTCAAAATTGAGGTTATGGATTAGCTGATCAAGGTAATTTTACTCTATTTTAGACTGTTAGGCTGATGGCATGTTCATCCCACTTAACACTGCAGGAACTAGTTGCTGTAATCTGGAGTTACTGATTCTGGTTTATTGAGAATCATTTTCAGATACAGTAAGTGTTGTTCCTATTTAATGTAGTGTTTGAAAATTATTGAAGAAGGTTGTGTATTTCTACAAAAGTTCAGGGAATGAACAGCATGGTCAGAAGAGCCAAAGTTAAAGCTTCTCTACATTCGTTTCAGTCAATAGAGGGTCTAGTGAGACTCAAAACCATAAGCCGCTGACACGCTCTTTGCCCCTCCAACCACATCCCGCTTCCTTGCAATAATGTGCACTACGGATAGCTGGTTGCGAAAACAAGGACAGTATTAATAAGATGCATATATTGCACACAAATAAATGTCAAAGCTACCAGTTACATCGCCATCGAAGAAGTTAGAAAAATAAATAAGAAAAAAATCCATATAATGAAATATATCAAATAATAAAACTATAATAAACTCAAGTTGGTGCAAACTGCAGTTTGAACTGCTCAGAAATTTGAAACACACTTGTGCTATTTTCATAATTATTGCTTATCAAAAGAAAAAAACTCGGTGATAACAACAATGTAAGCTTAACACATTTCCATCTAAAACTTTGATTTAAATGTATGAGGTCAACAAATTGGACCTTCTCTCCCTTCTCCTACCACTTCTCTACCTCTCGTCTTTTCCTCATCTTCATTTGTCTCTGGAGTTTTGGAGGAAAACATTAATATTTTTGTCTGAGCATCGCCTAGTTTCGTCTTTTAAGATGGTGCCATGCTCACATTAGCGTCCAAATAACTTATGTTTTACTATGAAAAATCACCTCACATTTACTCAGACTTCATTGCAACACAGATTCGCTCTGTGATGATTACTTAGTGATCAGTTTTGTTATGTTAAACTATTAGAACAACACTGATTACTGACAAATCAGTGTGGTGTTGGTGACAACTTCAGTAGTGTTGGTGTAACCTTATTGAAAACGCAGACAAGAAGCAAGCACAGTGACATTTTGGTTCCATGAGAAAATATTAACTATCACAATCTTACTGTAACTTGGAGAAGCCTGGGCGAACAATCAGTGAAGATGATGCCTAGTCCTCCATAAACCTCGGTGTATGTACATAGTGGCCCACCATTCCTGCAGTACTATATGGGAAACACGAGAGTAGACGAGTATCTCAGGGGCTGAGCCTGTCCTCTTAACTCCTCCTCCTCTTTCCACTCCCTTCACCTGGCCTTAGGGCCTACTGGAAACCAGTTGGACTGGTTGACTCTGCCTTCAGCAGGAGAGGAAGACAGAGAATAAGCACAAGGAACAGACTGAACCTCAATAGTCTCTTCATGATTTTCTTTCAAGCTTCAGGTCTCATCAACAATCCTTGTAGTCATTATCCATCAAAAAAATCTTTTTCTGCTGCTTTGGAAATTCCTTAGTTTTGAGTTTCAAAACAAATAAAACACACTCTGCTCTGCTGTAGGTCTATGATCAGGCCAACTTTTCAGTTATTTTTATCCTTAATTTTAAACAAAATGTCTCAAAGAGCTGCACAACAACTACTATAAATAGTGGTGGGAATTGTCTTTGTTACAGTCCTCAAAGAAAGGACGAAGAAAATAGGTGGAAAAGTCAGAAGTTGACCTTGTTGACCTCTGCTCTTCATTACCTATTGCACATTTATTATTGTGTTGGTACTTGACTGATTCTTTCTTCCTTAAACATAAAAAAGTGGGATTTCCAAGTGAGTCTTTGCACCATGCTGTTTGAAATTAGAAATGCAAAGCCTTTCCCTTCAATGCGGTAAAAAAGGCCTTAGAAGGTATTAAAAGGTGTCATTTACAAAATTCATAACTATTTTGTTTTAGCTTGTTGTAGGCAGTAACAGTCATTATCAGATGTTTCCAGATGTGATTTTAGTAAAAACCTTTACCAGTACATACAGTTAATAAATGGACTTAAAGTTAATTAGATATATTTTTAAATGGTTAATCCAGAATTCATTTATCCATTTGAGTTAAAAGTCAGCAAGACATAAAAAGAACAACAACAGGTAAAAACTACAAATTTCACTAAAAGCATCTTGTACATTAAATCATCACTGTTTTTTTCTACCAAAACCATAAGAGGTAAAACTTCATGAACGTCTTGTTGCTCTTTGTCTGTCATCCATCTCACATCTGTCATGCTACAGCTGTGGTTAGGACAAAAAAAAACAAAACACTTGTAGTTATATTTGAACCACAACATGTGTGTATGGATGTGTGTGTGTGTGTGTGTGCATGGGGGTGTTGCCCCTTCCCATTGATGTGTCCATCTGACCAGTCCAGTTCAGTTTTCCAAACTGGTGCACATCTGTCCTTGACATGGTGGTGACTAAAAAATCCTGCATACTCTCCGCTCAGTTCAGTGTTTTTAAGGGTGTACAGTTTAACTGACTCATAATCGCTTATTTCTGCTTGAACCCTTTGTATGTGACCAACCGAAGATCATAATGAGGACATAGGCCCCTGTGTAATGACAGCCAAGCCTTGTCTGTACAAAGCTCTCCATTTCTTCATGAACCCAGTGAACTCTTCTGTTTCCTGCCTCTGTCAGAGCCCACTCATCTGCTGCTTCTCTCTGAGCTGGACTTTAAACTCCAAACTAAGTTTGGGAGTATCACTGCCTCTTGCCATCTGTCCTTAAATGTTTTCCCACTTCGAAACCCAGTTGAGAAATTTGATCGTAGGTCAGGGACACATGCAGACTCTTCAGAATGTTCCACTTTGTTGTGTACGAATCAAGTAGTCCCAATTTTTTCATATATTGCAATATGCAAATGTCTGAAGTGGGTCATTTGTTGCATGCTGAAGGGAGTTTAGTTTGTCTGATTATGAACAACTTTTTTTTCCACCACCTTTTCTCTTCTTGCTCTTCTAATGATTATTTTCATCACTAATTAATCTGATTGTTTTCTCAGTTAATTGGTTTTTTGGCAAGCCTACAACGTGTCAGAAAATAGTTCCAACAGCCTTTATCATCAGAGGTGTTGCTAACAGTCCAGAACCCAAAGATATTTTGTTTACTATGATGTATGACAAAGCAAAGCACCAAGTTCTAACATTTCAGATACTGGAACCATCAGTTGTTTAAAACTGGCCTAAAATGATTATTCAGTTTTCACAGTGGTTGCAGATTAATCTTACCTTCTGTTCTCTGGAAAATTCAGAAAGCAAATATAAGAATTAGGTTTTTTTGGATGTTACATTCAGATTAACATCTGCTGTTTGTTATAAACATTCTTGCTGTATTCACACACACACACCCACACCCACACCAGACGCATTTCCTCCAGCTCTTCTTGGGGTACCATATCTAGATTTTGGTGGTAAAGCAAGAGTCTGACTTGAAGTTATTTGTAGGTGTGGTGTGTTGTTGATCCAGACCCCTCTCTCTCTCTTTCCAGGAGTTTTATGACCATGCAAAGATCCTTTGGCAGGATGAGGGTGTGCGGGCCTGCTGGGAACGGTCCAATGAATATCAGCTAATCGACTGCGCACAGTAGTAAGTCTCTCTGGTTCATCACTATACATACATGTGTAATTAAACATATTTTTATGGGCTTTATTTTTTTGGCTTTTTAGTTCACAATCATGTATATAGTCACAACAAACCAGAGTGCATAATGTGGGGTGTTTGGGTGTTGTGCCTTGTGGTGTGAAGTTTTATGAGGTGACAGTCTATGTGGTAGTGCCTTGACAAGTATTTCTGTGTTATTATAGATATTCACATGTGGTGTAAAACTTGGTTTACTTTTTAACAACTGAGCCTGGCAAGATTCTTTTTTTTATTTTTATTGTCAATAAATCCCATGAAAAAACTGAAACCAGTGACAAGTCCATCTCAATACTTCCCTACCCTGTTGAAGACGTAAATCTATATAACAGTCAAGAAAAATATAGTTAAACTTTTTACAAAGGATAAATACTTTTCTGAAACAGCTGGGCGTTGTTGCTTTTGGCAGACATGACAGGAGTAAATAGTGCATTTGTCAGGAACCGCTTTCAGCCGTGGGTTTGATGTGGTGTAGTAGCTCATTTTCATTGTAATGAAGAAACGTGTCACTCCATGCAACGTTGAGGCTCTTTAGGCATAGATGGGGATGGTGGTGGTGTTCTGCCAGGCTGTCCACTACTTTGGTCCAGATCGAAATACCTCAACAATTATTGAATGGTTTGCCATTAAATTAGACACAGACATCCATTGTCCCCAGAGGATGAATTCTGATTTACTTCACTGAGCCCTGGGTTTTTATCTAGCATAAAATAGAAACACTTCCATAAAGACGAGTACCTCAAAATTATATTTAAACACAGTACTTGAGTAAATGGCATGTATGGCCACATGTTTTTTTTGTTTTAGTGTGTCTTGTACAGTGTTTTTTGGGGAAGAGGTGAACTATCAGTAGAAGCTCTCTGTAACATGTTCATGGAAAACCTTTCCTGTAAGAAATGTGGTTGTGGACAGCAAGAGTTGCAAGCTAATGGAGAGACAGAATGACTGAAAGAGACGGACTGAAATGGAGAAAGAGAGGGCTTCCCTGCACTGCGGGATCTCCCTTCTCTCCTCTCCTCTCCTCTCCTCTCCTTCATTCCTCTCCTCCCCTCCCCTCCACACCCAGCAGCTCCAGTGTTATGGATCAGATGCTGGGCTGGGTGGCCAGACCGGAAGTGCTCCCCTCCCCCCTCCGTGTGCTTATGTAAACGGAGAAGCAGAGAAAGAGAGAGGGAGAGTTATTTTTAACTCAGGCAGGCTGCAGAAGGAGAAAGAATGAGCGAGTGTGGCAGGAGAGAGACAACTTCAGCATTACTGATGAAGGTTGTTAGCATTCAATGAAAATGTCAGCCCTCGATCAATGTGGGAAAAGTCAGGGCTACCCTGCCTCACCCTTTTCTTAAAAAATCAGTTCCATCATACACCTCATGTTGTGATAAAAATTTAAAAAAGGCAAAAAGAAGTTAATGGGGTGGTGATGCTTTGTTGTCTGTCTGAGGAGAAGGAAGTCGCTGAAGCTTACCTGATGACTGTCTTTTTGCTTGGTCATGCTCCTGTTGCTGTTTATTCAAACTGTCTGATGCCTTATATGTTTTTTTTTTTGTGTGAGGACGTTGTTGTCCTTGATTGTACAGTATGTGGCTGTGTTAAGTTCAGCTGCTGTAAGTGTAGGCAATTCACATACAAGGTCCTAACATATAAAGTTTCTGGACTTTATGGATGCAGTTTGTTAGGGGTGGGAATCTTTGGCAAACTCACGATTCGATTTGATTCCAGTTCTTGGTGTCCCGATTTTGATTCAGAACTGGTTCTCAATTTTTAAGTCAAAATAATTTGATTTAGTTAAAAAAAAAAAGAAGGGCACTATATTTTGGCTCTTATTTCAGTCCAGTATGTCAAACATTTGATTGCTGTCCGTTGCCCACTGAGCTGCTAATGAAGCTTAACAGTAAATTAAGCTAACTAACATATAACAAATGGTTCTGATGAACACCACATGTTGTTTCTAATATGTGATTGTGGGGTAACAGGAGACACCTGTAAACTACAGTGAGACTGGTGCGAGTGTGCATTGTGCATGCAGGAGGTGGAGGAGTTGTTACGTGTTGTGAGCTCCTCGACTTACAATGAGTAAGTGTCAGTTTTAGTGAAAACTTTTTTTGTTTGTTTCTGCCACTCATCTCAGTCTAGATCATGTTAATTGATTAATTATGTTGCTAAGAATAATATATAAAACTGAGAAGTACAGACAAAAATGTAAATGTCAATAAAGTCATGGACTTGATAAAGAAAACTACTTTCCCCACTAGTTTGATTGTGAAACAAGTTTAAATTTATTTCTACCTAGCATTAAAAAAAGATTTTAAAATGTCATAAATTTAACTTTGGTGAACACTTCAGATAGGACACTGTGTTAGGAAAGATACCGTGGATTAAATGGAACGACTACATCTCGTGATACATAAAATATGTTAATGTATTGGACATTCTTTGGTTTATTTCATTTCTCTTGGTTTGTCTTCATTGGTTTCATTTTTGTTTGACTCCCAGATACATGCACATTGTTAGTTGGATGCAGCTGATAATTTAAGTAATCACCTTCAGTTCTGGAAAATTGTGATAGAAAGGTTGCACTGTTGACATTTTAAATAGCTAAAGAGGAAATAATTCATCAGTAATTTGAAAAAAAAGGAACTGCAACAATTGGTCAATCATCAGAAAATTAACCTGCAAGTATTTTAACTGTGAAATAACTGTTTTAGTCATTTTTAAACAGAAATAACCAATGGTTTGATGTTTTATACATGATTGCAAACTGAATGTCTTGGATTTCACACTGTTGGTTGGACAGAACATTTGAAAAACTTAGTTTGGGTTGAAATAAAAGGATTAATCTGAAAAATCATCCAGTTATTTGATAAGGATCGTTAATCATTAGTTGTACAATACATTTAGTTGTTAGTTGTTAGACGACCTGTTTTACTTTTCATATGAACCCTTTGGAAACAAGCTGTTGTAGCCTATGGGACCTTTCCCTGACCAGCCTAATTATCAGCATCATCTGAGAATTATGTGTCTGTTTTACAAAAACTTGAACATGACTGAACACTTCCAAACATTCTGAATGTGTGTCTATTTGCATTACGTGTCACCTGTTTGTCTGTGATACCAGCCAGCGTCACCACCGTGTATACGTTGTCTGTCACTTGTTTGAAATCTTGTCCCTGGGATAATGTGCTGTCCTGTGCCGGTGTCCCCCGAGTTTACTTCTATGGCGTCCTCTTCCCTCTATTCTCCCCCTCGCTGTTGTGTAGTTGTGTTTCTGCAGGATCAGAAAATGGCTGGGCTTGAGTCTCGGACTCATCGCAAAGTCAGAAGGAGTGAATGGAAGAGATTGAGAGGGGAGAAGGAGAGATGGGCAAAGAAATATTTTCTGGGGGGCGGGGAGTGTATTGTCGATACTTAGTTGATGTTATTCTAGTTTAGATGTGTTAGTAAAATGTGCATGTGTGTGCAAGCAGCAGATGTTACACATGGCTCTCACTGCGCTGATCTGTATCATGAGTCACGTACATTTTGAAGTGTTTCAGGCGAGCTCTGCTGGCCATGTCTTTGGGAAACTTTGCTGCCATGTGCTGCTGCAATCTCACTGTATTGTGAATTTTCTGAATGCTGTTGTGTATTCAGTGATTGTGCCGCTCCCAGTGTTCGGCTGCTGTTTGACAGTGTTCCCAGGCCTGGGTTTATGATTTCCTTCTTTGTTTAATTCTCCCCTTTTCCTTCTTTATCTTTCCTTTTTTCCCTTTTATTTAAGTTTTTCTTTAGTTTCCACTTTTATTTTGTACAGTTTTACCTTTACATTCTTTGGTGTCATGTTCTTTTCTATTAATTCTTAATCTGCATGTTTTTGTCTTTCTTTCTTTTGGTTTTATGTCCCGTTCTTATTTTTTTCTTTGTGTCTCTGTCTTTGATTCTATTCTTCCTTTTGCTCGTTTCCAAATTTTCTCATCTTCTTATGTTCTTTGGTTAATTCTTGACCTACTTTTTAAATAGTTTCTTTTCTGTTTAGATTTTCTCTTTTTGTGTTTCTGTTTGCCCTCTTTTTTTCATTCTGTTCTTGAAATCTATAATTCTTAATTAGTTAATCTTGTTTGTTTTTGTTTCTTTTTCTCTTGTATTAGTTTAATTGTTAACTTTAATTTTTCCTTTGTTCCTTTTTTCTTTCTTGCACTTCTTCCTGCACTCGGTCTCTAGTCCACTCCATTCTCTCCGTTTCTCTGTCCTTTTCACATCATTCCTTCTTTCGTGTCTTTTCTTTTTGTCTGTCGTTCTTTCTTTCCTCCTTTCTTTTTTGTTTTCCCTCACTGGCTGTCTCTCCCTCTTTCTGGCCCCACTCCAGTGCACAAGATCTGGAGCCGATTGTCTATTTATAGAGCCTGTGGTTCTGTCGCCATGACAACCAAGCTGGAGGCCAGGGCGCCAGGGAGCTATTTTTGGAGCAGTGCTGTAATGTCAGACACAGCCTTCGCTCTCTTTTCTTTCCTCCTCTTTCTGTCTCTCTCTCTCTCTCTCTCTCTCTCTCTCTCTCTCTCTCTCTCTCTCTCTCTCTCTCTCTCTCTCTCTCTCTCTCTCTCTCTCTCTCTCTCTCTCTCTCTCT